AATAAAGAGTTTACGGGATGTACATAGCTCAGTGGTTAACGCTTCTGACTTTGAACATCGAATTCGCAGGGTCGATCCCTGCTGAAGTCTAGAAAAAAGAAGTCTGATGAGGAGATGTGGTGATCTCCGAAATAGTGCTATAACTTCTACCGCTTAGACTTTGTTGCTTTTTCAATTTTTCCTAATAAACAATCGTGGTACAAAGCTCAATAAAAATATTAAAAATAAAATGTTAACAAGCCACAATAACATTGACAAATACAAAAAATCTTATGTTACAATACTTTATTTTATTGTTTTGATTGTACATGTTAAATGAAAGCTTGTTTTAAAAATATATTTTTTTTACATTATTTAATTAACATTTATTATTGCGTTGATAAAGATTTCTAAGATATCTTTGTTGGTTTGTACCTTATTAATGGTAATTTGTAACAATTAATTGCACACAAAATTAAAAAAAAATGTACTCCTTTTTTATGTCTTGTACTGCTTTTTTTCTATCGAAAATATAAATGTATAAATTCGTTCACGAAAAATGACACTGAAGATGGCACAACGCCGAAACCGGTTTGTCTCCAAACCAAATTTGACAAGGGATGGCGGAAAATCGTTCAATACATCATACTTCTACCCTGTCGGAAACACAAACAACCAAAAATAAGATAAATGTACTTCTTTCTCCGTTTCAAAATCTGGGAACCCTACTTTCAATTGAGTTTCAATTTTGATCAGCTTTTCAGCATTGGCATGCGAATTTTGTGAAAATAAAAAAATACTAAGCTTATGCATGTTAAAATGTTAATCTACAATGGAATTAAAATTGAAAATGTTCTTCAGAAGCTAGTTAGTTACATTGCTTTCTTGAAGGCGACATGTTGATAATGAAATTGCTCTCAAATTGAATGCAGCCTACGTAATGGCTTTCAATTTTGATGATTTTTGACAAGAAATGTGTATGGGGAAATTGAAAGCCAAAAGTGATTGTGTGTCGTCAGCGTAATCGCCTAATGCTTTGTCGTGTCGTACACATAGTCCCCTTTCAGACACGTCAAGTCTTGCTTTCAAGTCTGCTCGTTCGTTGGCGAAGGAGGTGGGAAGAGAGGGGAAGAGTACAGATACCTCCGTACCGTCAATTCGTTTCAAGTTTTCTTGTCTCTTTTGATCTTTTCGTTGCTTCCCATTTAAGAACCAAGGACTTGAATTCAATTAAAGTTGACGCGTGTGGAAGCAAATAGAAAACACAAAAGAGAATGCGAAACAAATTTCTTTCAAGACTTGACGTGTCTGAAAGCAGACATATCTTTACACATCAAATTTCGCGAGTAAAGGTGTTCTTAGACGATATGTATTTGCATGTATACATGCCACTCTTTACATATGGAAATGCCACCACATCGTGTAAAGGCAAATTAGATTTGTTTACGAAATACAAATGTTTCTATTTTCATCTGACACGTGGATAGAATCATCTGAGTTTAGTTTATTTCGTTTGCAAAGAACGTATTTTTAAATAGTTAAATAAAGACTGTGGTGAAAAAGTCACATTTACAGATGCAAATACATATCGTGTAGGAACACTTTTACTGGCATTAGCGCCCTTTTTAAAAACTTTCACTTCTATCACGTGGACGGTGATACACGCGTATTTTTTTGTTATTTAATAATAATAATAATAATAATATCACAACGGATTTTACCCTCCATTCCCGCCCATCCGCATGAGGGGCGCAGTCCGCATGACGTACGGAACCAGTATTTTCAATTTTTGCACCGTCACGATAGGCAGGAGTTTGTTAAGTGTCGAGATCTAAAACTGTTCAGCTACAGAACTAAATTCATCAGCCGATTTTATGTCTTTCTTTTAATGATTCATCTATTGAGGGAGGACAGTATCGATTTCTTAATGCTGAAAAGCGGATCTGATATATCAAACGTGCTGGAATGAGAGTTAAAATCCTGGCATAAGCAACGGAGTGGGTCGTGCAATTCAAAATTAGTTTTACAAGCTTTCAGAAATAGGGGGCAAAAGTGTTTTGATACCCGGGAGGGAACATTAAGGCTAACTTCGCCAAGAAGAAGCGGACTTGAAATTGAGCCTGTTAGTAATTTAGCTATAAAAATTGTACCAAGCATTTGCCTGCGGGTGGAAAGTGTAGGAAGATTAATAAGTTTAAGTTATAAGGTGGAAGGTTATATTGAGAATCCCAACGGAAATTTCTTAAAGCAAAAAGTAGGAATTGTTTTTGAATTGATTCTATCTTGTCTGAGTAAATTTGATACCTTGGATTCCAAACCACCGAACCGTATTCCAGAATTGGCCTAACTAATGTTGTAAACAGGGTTTTAGTGATATAAGGGTCACAAAACTCTTTTGACAATCGTTTCACAAAAGCAAGTACACCTTTAGCCTTGTTGACTGTCACATTAATATGAAGATTAAAATTAAAATTAATTTATTTTGCGTTATTTTTTTTAATAGTGTTCATTCCAGTTTCAAACTGTGCGAAATATTGGAAAAAAATTTAAAAAACTTTCGTAAAAATTTCGAGCTTTTTAATTCGACTTTTTAGAACGATTTTTGAAAGTCAACGCATTTCTAGTAGGATTTATTTATTTATTTATTTATTTATT